AAAATCCTGGCGATCCAACCATAACGATCAACTGGNTGGAGCGAGGAACCGACGTATCTGATAAGGCCATAGTATAAACTCGAAATGTGGGAGATAGATCACCATAAGAAACATAAGCAAAGATCGGATATAAAATCCTGGCGATCCAACCATAACGATCAACTGGACGGCGATCACGCTGCGGATAACGACGCCCTAAATCATACTCCTCCACTGATAATGTCTCATCAGGTAAATGAACTGGTTCAGCACCTGCAATCTCATCAATACTAACAACAGGTGCATCAATATGTTCAATAAACTGAGAAGTATTACCTGTATCGCCTGAGGTAGAGGGAACATCAGCAGGGTGATGAGAGCGAGGGCAACAAACATATATCTGCAAAGGAAGAGAGACTGGTAACTCTGTACTGACAGGAATGAGTGGCTCTGTAGGGATAATGACCAATGACTCTGACTCCTGTGGTAACGGAAAATCAGACACAGGACTGGGAGGAAAATAAGGAATATGCTCAAGAAAGATAACATCTAGACTGTGATACATACGACGCCTAATAGGATCATAACACCGATACCCCTTAGATTGATGACAATAGCCTACAAAGATATAACGAATCGCTTTATCATCAAGTTTATGACGAGTAGGAGACCGATCCTGAACAAAACATGTGCATCCAAAAACATGAGGGGGGACCGGAAAAAGTGTCCGCTCAGGAAATAAGACCTGTAAGGGAGCCTTATGCTGAAGAACACGACTCGGCGTACGATTGCACAGAAAGGTAGAAGTCAAAACAGCAAAATGCCAATAAGATTTTGGTACCCTCATGCCTCTAAGCAGACAACGTACCATCCCTATCAAACTCCTATTTTTCCTCTCAGCAACACCATTTTGCTCAGGAGTATATGGACAAGTGAGTTGCTGAAGGATACCCTGAGAAGAAAGGTGAGACACTAAAGCATCAGACACATATTCTTTGGCATTATCCGAACGAAGAGCACGAACAATGACATCGAATTGTGTCTTAATCATCTGTAAAAACTGAGTGATTATAGGGAGCACATCAGACTTCCTATGCAAAAGGTAGACCCAAGTANGTTGCCCACCCCTGATTGAGGATCCTGAACGAGACCTTGCAGCAGCTGCAAGGGCCATCTGGTCAGCCGAAGGAGTCAAAGCCGCAACTGGAAGTGATGCAATACGGACTCGGCGCTCATGTTACTCAATCATCCCATATACCTCATAAAAAGAAAGAAGTGTCAACATCGACAAGATCTGAGAACAAGGTCCCTCAAACTCATCTCGAAGCCCCATAAGGAACTTGTGAATCCTATCCTNTTGACAAGATCTGAGAACGAGGTCCCTCAAACTCATCACGAAGCCCCATAAGGAATTTGTAAATCCTATCCTCCTGCTCTCGAGTATGCAAGAATGCTGCTCTCTTGGGCTCTATCCTCGGAATAGCAGCAAGAGGACGTAGAGTCTCATACTCAAGCCAGCGTTGGGTCAAATAGCCATAATAATCCTGAACGGTCATATCTCCCTGCCGTGCATATGAGAGTTCCTGAGAAAGCTCATAAATACGAACTCCCTGTCCTGACTGAGAATACATCTCTGATAATGTGCTCCATAGCTTCGGAACTGAGCTATGAAATTGGTGGATCCTGCAAACAGATGGCTCCATCGAGCCAAATAATCATCCAAGAATGGCACAGTTCTCAGAGAACCACACAGAATATCCAGGGTCGGCATCAGCTGGCTTTGGGTGNAAAAAACCCTCAGAAGAAAGGTGAGACACTAAGGCATTAGACTCATATTTTTTGGCATTATCCGAACGAAGAGCACGAACAATGACATCGAATTGTATCTTAATCATCTGTAAAAACTGAGTGATTATAGGGAGCACATCAGACTTCCTATGCAAAAGGTAGACCCAAGTACAACGGGTATGATCATCTATAAATGTCACATAATATCTGGCACCTGACAGAGCAGTAACGGGAGAGGGTCCCCAAATATCAGAGTGTATTAGGTCAAATGGCTTGGGTGACTGGTGCATGCGAGGAATATAATTGGCCCTAACATGTTTTGATAGGGAACAGATAACGCAATCAAGTTTACCACCAACACAAGCATTACTCAAAGCAGGAAACAACATACATAAATATTTAAAATTTGTATGTCCAAAACGGTCATGCCACAATTGAACAGTTTGTGACGAAAAATCATAACGACAACTACTAGGTAAAATACTAGCATGCAAGCTAGGAACAGAAAAAGACAAAGCAGGTGCAGGTGAAGGAATTGGTGAAACTGGAGATGGATTGCCAAGATAATACAGTCCATCTTTCTCATGTCCCTTGATAATAATCCTCCTGGTACTCAGGTCCTGCAAATAACACGAATCAGATAAGAATACAACCGCACAGTGAAAATCTCTGGTTAACTGATGTACAGATAATAGATTCATGGCCAACTTTGGCGCATAAAAAACCAAACGTAATGTAAGGCCATCTGGGAGGCGGATTGTACCCTTACTAACAATAGGGGCATGTGTCCCATCTGCTAACTGAACTTGTGTATGTAACTGCTCGTCAAAAGTGGTGAAGTGATGGGCCTCACCTGTCATGTGACCATTTGCACCCGAGTCCAACATCCAAAGGGGAGATGAACTGGCACAAGCGTGAAAAGGCACGAGGTATACTTGTAGTGGTGACAGTAGCAGTAGTCAGACTCTGAGAAGTCAGAGCAGACATAAGTATATTTAATCGGGAAGTGATAGCATCCATATCACTCTGCCAAGGTGGAGCAGCTACAGCAGGAGTAGCGGTAGTGGGTGGTGGTACCTCAGCAATAGCAACAGTACGGCTGCGAGGAGGCGACTTAAGCTCTGGATAGAGCTTCCAGCAAGTAGCCCTGAGATGTCCTGGTCGGCCACAATAATCACATTGATGGGAATCCCCTTGTTTGCGCTAATTTGGGGCACCCTGACGAGAATTCCCCTGTCTGTGCTGATCTGGGGCACCCTGACGGCGCTGATCCGAGCGCTGCCCACCCCTGATTGAGGATCCTGAACGAGACCCTGCAGCAGCTGCAAGGGCCATCTGGTCAGCCGAAGGAGTCAAAGCCGCAACTGGAAGTGATGCAATACGAACTCGGCGCTCATGCTGCTCAATCATCCCATACAACTCATAAAGGGAAGGAAGTGTCAACATTGACAAGATCTGAGAACGAGGTCCCTCAAACTCATCACGAAGCCCCATAAGGAATTTGTAAATCCTATCCTCCTGCTCTCGAGTATGCAAGAATGCTGCTCTCTTGGGCTCTATCCTCGGAATAGCAGCAAGAGGACGTAGAGTCTCATACTCAAGCCAGCGTTGGGTCAAATAGCCATAATAATCCTGAACGGTCATATCTCCCTGCCGTGCATATGAGAGTTCCTGAGAAAGCTCATAAATACGAACTCCCTGTCCTGACTGAGAATACATCTCTGATAATGTGCTCCATAGCTTCGGAACTGAGCTATGAAATTGGTGGATCCTGCAAACAGATGGCTCCATCGAGCCAAATAATCATCCAAGAATGGCACAGTTCTCAGAGAACCACACAGAATATCCAGGGTCGGCATCAGCTGGCTTTGGGTGAGATCCCGTCAGCCAACCAAGCTTCCCTACACGGCCTAAGAAAAGCTGGAATGAGCGAGATCACTTAGCGAAGTTACGACCATTCAACAACTGTGCCGTAACTTTCTGAGAGATCATGCCCGGTAGTGCTGGTAATGCAACTGTGCTAGTAGGTACTGTATATTGGTTAAACATAAAAGTGGAAGTACCCATGGATGTCTCAACGGTAGAGGTGTCAACAGTAGGAGTCTCAAGTCCCTCAGTAGTAGTAGTCATATCAACAATAATACTAGAGCACCCGTGACAGAAAAATAGAGGGATAAAATAGGGGAGAACAATATACCTCTAGTCGAACAGTAGCGATAGATAAAGAAGGTCCAGAAAGCTCCCAAATATTCAAGTCACGGTGCCCAGAAATTCAATAAATATAAATAAATAATCTAATGAATTAAGAGCATATCAACTGAGAGGAGGATTCAACCCCTCTTAAAAAGTCCTACAATCCCAAATAATCAAGCGTACGAAGACAAAACACGAAGTTGTGAAGAAGAATGCATCCCAACAGTAGGCTGGTTCGCTGGATTGGACAGTGGGTCGTGGGTTTGTTTTTGGGTCAGTTGGTGTTGCTGGGTTTTGTTGGGCAGTGGGTTGTTGGTTTGCTTTTGGGTTTTGTTTGTGGGGTATCGGCAGTGGGTCGTTGGTATATGGNCATCCCAACAGTAGGCTGGTTCGCTGGATTGGACAGTGGGTCGCGGGTTTGTTTTTGGGTCAGTTGGTGTTGCTGGGTTTTGTTGGGCAGTGGGTTGCTGGTTTGCTTTTGGGTTTTGTTTGTGGGGTATCGGCAGTGGGTCGTTGGTATATGGGTCGTTTGTTTTATGGGTATATGTTGGCTGGCAGTGGGATCTTGGTTGGTAGTGGCTGGGTGTTGGAGTTTTGGGTTATATATTGCATGTTGCAGTTGGTGGTGGCAGTATTGTTGGTCAGTCGGTAGTTGGGTTTTGGCTGGTAGTATGTCGGTGATGGTATATCGGTGATGGCAGTGGATTGATGGTATATGTTGTAGTGGGTGGGTAGTGGGCTGTTGGGTCTTGGTCGCTGCCTTGCTTATTTGGCTGTGGCGGTGGCTGGGTTGCTNGGTGGTGGCAGTATTGTTGGTTAGTCGGTAGTTGGGTTTTGGCTGGTAGTATGTCGGTGATGGTATATTGGTGATGGCAGTGGATTGATGGTATATGTTGCAGTGGGTGGGTAGTGGGCTGTTGGGTCTTGGTCGCTGCCTTGCTTATCTGGCTGTGGCGGTGGCTGGGTTGTTGTCGGTGAGCAGTGGTGGTGGCAGGTAGGTGGTTGTCGCTGATTCGGTGCTACATTCGGTGCTGCTGGGTATGGTTTGGCAGTCGGTGCTTTCTGTGTGCACGGGTTTGGCAGTCGGTGGACTGAGTTGTTTTGTCGGTGGAGGCTGTCGGTCTGTTCTTACAGGCTGTGGGTGGCTGGGGTTAGGGTTAGGGTTTGGGTTAGGCTCTGATACCAACTTGAGATAGATGTAAGTAAAAGGGATACAAACTAAGTGTAGAGCCTCCGTATATATAGTCAATGAGAGTTACAATAAGGACAAAAAGGTAAAAAAGGAAAACTTAAAAAAATCCTAATTAACTAGGCTGCTGTTATATCTCCAACAGAAACGTTTCGACCCGTTTGGAAAACATAATGAAAAAAATAAAAAATTTAAGAATTATTTTTCTAAAACATTNTTCTATATCTCCAACAGAAACGTTTCGACCCGTTTGGGAAACATAATGAAAAAAATAAAAAATTTAAGAATTATTTTTCTAAAACATTGATAAAAATATATCAAAGTATCTTGAAATACCTTGAAATATTTTAAAACAATTGTGAAAATGCATTTAAATATTATAATACATTTAAAAACATTATGGAATACCTCAAAATATTATAATTTCAATTCTATCACTGTTTCGTTTCAGTTTTCTTGGAAATGGAAATGTTTCAGACGTTTCAACTGTTTCGAAATGATATTTTGATCCTTGCATGTATTAATGTTGCAACAAGATAAAATTATGGACATAATAGAGAGGTTATGATATAATCCTTCCTTGTTTTTTTGTATGGATTTTGTGGAATAACTTGTTTAATGTGATTGAAGAGGCATGAGTTTTCTTTCTATAGTGAGAAGTTGTTGCAAATCAAATTTTAAGGTTTTGGGAAGATTATATTTTAAGGTTCTTTGGAATTTTGTATCGATGGTGGTTCTCTGGTGTATTTGGTTAGAAACAAAATGCAAGAATTTTTTCAGGATCATTTTCTTCCATTAGACCTAGTTTGGAATAGAATTAAGTTCTTCATTTCTTTATGGACCATATCCTGGGGGAGTTTCAGAAGGGTGCCATTGCTTGATTTTCAGTGGAAATGGAAAGCAGTTCTATTCTTTTTATTTTATCCTTTCTCTCTTCCTTTTGTCTCTTGGTAATATTCTTATTTATGTAATTTTCTTATTTATCTATAAAACTATCCTTATTATTCTTCATATCTCTTATGTGTTAATAGTCTAGTAAGTACTATCATTTTGTGAACAACTGGCCATCACATTCTTATACTGAGAAATACTAAGGATGAAATGGACTAAAAAGAAGAAGTTTCAATAATTTATGTTAAATCACTGTTTCTTGCTTTCCTTTTTGCAGACAATTGCTTTAAAAAGTGGTGCCTTACGTCATGATATTCATTATTGGCTTGGTAAAGATACTAGCCAGGTAACTATTTCTATACATAATTTTTCACGTTAATCTAATATCCTAATGTAGTTATGATGGTCAAAGCCACTGCTTTAAATAGGATGAAGCTGGTACTGCAGCCATCAAAACTGTTGAACTGGATGCGGCCCTTGGAGGGCGTGCAGTACAATATCGTGAAGTACAAGGCCACGAAACAGAGAAGTTTCTCTCTTATTTCAAACCATGTATTATACCTCAAGAAGGTGGAGTGGCATCTGGATTCAAGCATACAGAGGCTGAAGAGCACAAGACCCGTTTGTATGTTTGCAAAGGAAAGCATGTTGTTCATGTGAAAGAGGCAAGTCTATGTTCTTCTGTACTTTACTGATAGGATCAGTAATGTGTCATTGTGCCACTTATTCTAAACTATCTGTATGTTGGGGGCAGGTTCCTTTTGCTCGATCCTCACTCAATCATGATGATATCTTTATACTTGATACAACGTCAAAGATATTTCAATTTAATGGTTCGAACTCATCAATTCAAGAGAGGGCTAAAGCACTAGAAGTTGTCCAGTACGTTAAAGATACTTATCATGATGGAAAATGCGAGGTAGCTGCCATTGGTAAGTGGATAATTAATTCAGTTGTTGAAATGACCATACCTGAATGATGTTTAAGTCTGCTTTTTGGTTTGTCTATGTAGAGGATGGAAAATTGATGGCTGATGCTGAAACTGGAGAATTCTGGGGTTTCTTTGGTGGCTTTGCTCCACTTCCGAGGAAAACAGCCACTGATGAGGCTAAAAGTACTGAAGCTCTTCCTACCAGGCTGTTTCGGTAATATGTTCTTGCAATTTGACATTTGCATTGACCTTCTTTGAATCTCCTTTATAGTTTGAGTATTGGTGGTGGACTTCTGGTTGACCACTCGACTATCTATTTTATTTTTTTCTTTATCAATAATATTTTGTTTCAAATAAAAAAAAAAATGAAAACTAAACGTACGTTATCGTAGGTTTTTAATATTTTCCATTTACTTTGGGTCAAACTTTGTTTGCTTTATAAGATACATGTATCCATATGCTTGTGACTAGATCTATGTACAAAGTCCTGAAGTGAAAGCAAGAATGCTTATTGTTAGCATTGTATAATTACTTGGCACATATAGCTGTGTAATACATATATGATCATACAACCACATCTCATAAAGGGGGTGCAAAGCCATAACTTTAAAACTAGTTGGGCTAATCAAGAATGGAACAAAATATTACATTGGGTTTGGAGTGGCTACATTGAAATTTGAAACAATCAATATTTTTAGAGAGGAGGGGTTTTTTTTTTTGGG